AAAATTCTAGTCATCCAGTGGGTTGATCAATAAGAACGACATACTGGTTCAAGGGTATGTCACTGTTATTTCAAGTACCAGAGGCGGGGCGAAACGTTGCTTCTGAGGTTACACTTTGCCCAGGTACCCCTATGCGTTGTCGCCAGACTGAGCAAAGAGCCCTTCAATGTGTACGAAGAGCGGGTTTAAGGGCAAGCTTTGGTATTTCAAGCCCTACGAGGTTGAGACTTTTGAAGCGGTATTGCCAGATTATTCAGATATTTCCAACTTAGGAAAAACGATAATTTACCAACGTCATACTCTGTCTGATTTCTAACAATTAATTTTTAATTTTGAAGGAAAATATCATATATTTTTGATTTTAATTCTAAAGGGTTTCAATATGGTAAAAGTTTAACCGTGTGAAGCCATAGAAATGCCACATAAATGCATATAATTTCAATAAAAAATTATCAAACTCCCCCATACACATTTTTGATGCTTAAAACTTTATTGAAGTGATTTTCATTCGAAAAATTGTACAATATTTACGCCAATAACGAGCGTATAAAAATGGTGTCGAACTCGTTAAGCTTCATAGGATCGATTATAAAAACTCATGCTTAAGAAAGAGTCTATATAACCAAGTACAGCCATAAGTTTTTCCATTTGGTTTTATTTAGTGATTCCCACGAGAGTCTCGTTTTCGAGAGTCTCGCATGGTCGAGACGAGACTCGGACTGTCTCGGACAAGACGAGACGAGACTGTCTCGAGTCTCGTGCGAGAGTCTCGTGTCTCGTGCAAAAGTCTCGCAGGTGAACATTTCTGCATGCAGCAAAGAACACATAGGTATAATGTAAATATATGCAGTAGCCAGTAGCCGCACTTTCGCGAAACCGCCTACCCCAGTTCATTGCCTACCCTTCCCATCAGAACTCTGTTGGCAGTGGCGTATATAACGGTGGGCGAATATTTTATATTTTTACAAAATATTTTATGTTTTCACATGACGCAATATTTTATAATTAGGTGCGTTAAAATTACGGCCATCCTGGGGGAGTTTATTTGAAATTGATGCAACTTGGCGCACACGCAAAAATGACGCAAATAACGTCAGATGCGAATGAAAAAGTGCATGTCAAATAAGCCGTGCACCAATTTTCAATCACGAATGACGTCATTTGCGTATACGCAAAGTTGCATCAATTTCAAATAAAGCCCCCCAGGCCTATGATTTATAATTTTCTGTTATTTTACCAGCAACGTTAAGTTATCTGTCACTTATTCTACACGTAAAAATAGAGACAGGTATAGACTTTGAGCTATAACACAACTGAAAATAACAGGAGAGGATACATCATAATACTGTATTCCTTTTATACATTGAGTTACATCGAACCTGTCGCTCTAAAGCTCCTCGGAGTAACTCCAAAACACATAATTCGGATGTTATCATTATTCTTCAATATTAACTAACATTACCTAAAATGGCTTCTTGCACCCCGGCAAATTTGGTGAATCAGGGAAAAGGGGGATGCACTATGAGCGAGTCGAGTGTTTTACGCACTTTTAAAAGAAACGTTCAATCTTTTGACATTGAGCCGCTCCGAGTAACTCAACGGGTGAAAGGAATACAGGGCAGAGTCGCTTTTCAGTGACGAATTTTAAGGTGCTCCATGCTCGTAGCTTCATACTCTAGTGCTCCAAACAACTGTTGTATCATTATAAGGCACCCAACTTTAAGCGTCGTGTTTTCGATGCACCCATAAAATTGCTGGTGCTTGAGAGGGCAGGGGAGAGGAAAAACGAAGTTCAGTTGCTCGAAAATCTAATGCACTAGAAAGCCTATAAACAATTCGGGGCACTCTCGAGCAGCTCAGGAGTGCTTAAAGTACTGGAAAGCGACTTTAATTCAAGGATGATACATACTACTTCAGAGTCGGCGTGCATGCTAGCACGAAATTGAATTGAGGATGCCAACGGTAAACAACATTGTCCTAGCATGCGTGCCGAAGTGCCACTTCGCTACCAGATTGATTGAGGATTTGTGGTTTATTTTGTTGTCAAGTTTCCCCTCGTTTTTATTTTAATCGGTGGCTTCACCAATGAGTTAGCTATCTTTGTTTAGTGAATGGAAAATGATAATGACCGACATACAATGGTGGATTCATCGGTAGAATTCGATGTAAACACAAGCGTCTGACGGCTTACGTTTCACGTTAACATAACCACTTTTGTTTGTTTATCGTTTTGTTTATCGTTCGATGACGTCATAACCAATGGGCGCGTTTGGGTTCACGATCGGTGCACTCACAGTGTGCACTTTTGTCTCTTTTCCGTTATTTTTGAAGGGCCGACAACGCTTGATTGTGTTTGGTTTGACATATTTTGAGCGCTTCGAGTGAGCTCGATAAACTCCGAGTTTGTGGAGTGGGCAGCTGGAGCGTGCATGCGCAGATCAGATGTGTTTAATCTGTCTGTATAACCTAACCTATTTTCCATGATAAGATTAATAAACAACCCTAAATTTTAACATTTATTTGTTAGCTGGATAGTTTTGGCATAACCCATAGTGGCGACAATTACTGTCTCATTTTTTATTGGTTCTAAAATCCCATATATTTATATAGGGCAATCCAAACAAAATGGCGGTCAAGGCATGGTCAATGCCAAAAAATTGGCGCCATAAATTTAATTCAAACAACCGTGACATTTTTCATCAAAAAACTGTTTTTTGTGTATTTTGTGCTGTTTTTAGATGATTTTCTAGTGTTTGGAAGGATAATTTTCGTATTTTAAGATGGAAAGTTGTTAGTTTAAGAAATTATTAGTGGAAAACCCGGATGTTTGCAAAAATTATGGTTTCTTTGTGACAAACCTTTACCTACTAAACAATTAGGTAGGTACTATATCCAGGATTTACTTCCTGTTTAGTTTTTTCTTAACCAAATCCTGAATCCTGATTCCTGATGTTTATTTTATTTGTCTACTATTCAAGTTTCGACATCGACACAAGCTGATGTGGAGGATAGTAAATGGCTTGGATCCATATACCATTTATGTAGAGAGACTTTTTGGTTTTTAAATATGGATTTCGTAAGATTTTTTCTCTTTTGCTACAATCCATGAAGCCCTCACAAAGTATACAGACAAATCATTTTTCTCCGTTAAAAGCCTGTGTTTTGTCTCTGCAGGAACGACATGAAACTAGACTTTTTCGCGATTTTCCAAAAAATCAACACTTTACAGACTTTATACAAATCAAAAATCGCAATAAAACGGATTTTTTTTTTTTAAATAAAAAGGCATTGGCCTACATTTTGAATTTCATTTTGACAGGCCGTTGGATTGCCCTATTAAAAACGCCGCCATCTTGTTCCCAACCCCTTGTTACTTTTAAATATGAATATATGGGATTTAGGTGAACATCCATCATAAATCATCGAAAACAACGTATTTGATGGACCTAATAATGGTCATCAAATACGTCGATTTCAATTTTTTATGATAGATGTCCATTTAAATCCTATATACTAATATTTAAAAGTAACAAGAGGTTGGGAACAAGATGACGGCGGGACCTCTATTGTCGCCACTGTATGTAAAGGTTTATTTAGCCACTGTAGTTTTAGCTATTTTGTTTAAATGTTAACAATCAAATAGCTAGTGAATTCTGCATATTTGTTTACTTTTAATTGAATTTTTTCGGTAGTCATCATTACTGGTATTATTGAACATATTTTTCCAAGGGAACTTGGCAGCCTCAGAGTGTTTAGGTCCATTTTATTGTTTATGTAGCACGATATTTTTAGCAGAACACGAAAGAAAATCGGGCTGTTTGAAAATTTTCGACTAAGATAAAAAATAAACGAGAAAACTCTGGTGCGCATGTGGAGTGCGGGATCGGAATCCAAAAAATATATCATAAAAAAATAAACAATAATCAGCTGATTGCTTAACCCAGCACTTCTGCACGAGTTTATTTGGCTTGACACGGTGTACCCCCTGTGACGTCACGTTACTCCGTAATCGCTCTGCTCGCTCCGCCGAGCGTCCACCCAAACACGCCCACTTTTAGAGCATTTTCGCGCCCATTGTTATTGAATACTTGAATAATTAATTAGTTATTAGGGGTTCAGTTTAAAGAGGATTTAAATATAGAAATATACTTCTTGAGTATTTTGCTCCACTCTAAATACATTTTCCATCAAAATAAAATTTAATGCAACTTCCTCATTAAATAACCTAAATTGTGTTGGTAATTCAGATTTTCTATTGGTTGAGACGCCCTACCTGGACCAGTGCGCATGCACGGAGGAAATTTGCATTTGATAGGTTGTAATGAAAATGACCAGTTATGCCATTACTGCCGCTTGGATTTGGTTCAACTATAGACTCTAAACTGGAACAAAATTATGCATGACGAGACTCCGAGACATTTGCGAGACTCTCGTACGAGACGCGAGACGAGACGAGACTTAAGGCTGCGAGACGAGACTCAAGACAAGACTTTTTATTTATCGGCGAGACGAGACAAGACTTTATGAAAGTCTCGTCTCGTTGGTCTCGTGGGAATCACTAGTTTTATTTTAAATGGCAACTAAATGGATAGGTAAATTAAGTTCGATTAGTTTAGTTCATCGATTGAAGTTTTAAAGTTAACTTCCAAATAAAACTGTGGGAGCGTTTTCATAACCGGCCTTCATTCTCTGACATAACCTCCAAACCTCCCTTATCTTTGACCTATGATACATCTGTTCTTTTAATTTTTAAAAATACTTTTATATTTTAGTAGCTCTATTGACGTCTTTGGATTTTGAACTCCCCGACTCAATAACGTATACTCTCTGAAAATTATGCTTTTCCTAAGTGATGGTTAATCATTTTTCGATAAACTTGCTGGTAATTACATTTCTATCCGTCAGAATGCAATACCTGAAGTTTATCAGAACGTCAATTAACCATGCATTAGTAGGTAGGTACCTACCTAGATCTTAGGATAAAAAAAAACATTAGAAAATAATAAATAATGTAAAGGTATTTTTATTGAAGTATTACAAATAATTTTTTAATAAAATATTACATAACTTGTATATGTAGAACGTATAAGAAGCAAACAAATAAAAATAACAATAATTTTGGTAGCAAAAATTCAATATACATCAATACCTTTTCGGCGTGTTCAGGCTATCATAGGTCGGTGGTGCTGAAAATAAATTAAAAAAATCAATGAAAATAAATAGAAAAGTACCTACTAAAAACATAATTACTTACGTTGCTCAAAATGTCCTGGAACTCCTTGGAAGCCTTGTTGTTCTTTGGAATCTGCAAACAAGGTCGATTAAAATACTTCCTGATACTTCAAAGGCAAAAATCGACTTACCCATGGATGGAGCACTTGGATTAGGTTCACCAAATGGATGGTACAATCTTCCTTGTGAGTGAGATTGGCCTATAGCTGAGGCTCCTAGCGGTATATTCCCAACTTTTGGATGCATAGTGACTTCCAAGTTATTGTGCATGGACGGTAACTGGGCTATAGCCTAGAAGATAAAATTGGAAATCAATAAAATGTATAAGCAATAAGTATATATCTACCTTATAAACGTATTCCACTGAAAACAAGCCGCACTGTGCAAAATTAGGAAGATTAACATTTGGGGGTAAGTTGACATTGAATAGAAATGTGTGTTCACCATGTGCTCCCAATCCCACATCCTTTAAATCAATCAAAATATGGGTGTCTTGTCTGTCATCTCTATTAGGAGTATCGACTTTGTAGGAAAATATCTAGACAACAAATAATTTATTGTAGGAAATCAAAAAAAATATAAATAGAATCTCAAACCTGTTTAAGCTCAACACTAACACCCTCAACATTAGTATTCGACATATTACTTAGTGTCATTTTTATCTGCACTGGTTCAGTAGGCACTAAGACCCTTTTTGTTAATTCCACGTCCATGCTTATTGGTCCCTGTGCACAACACCAACAGCAAACTGTCTTTTCGTCCGAATACATCGAAGGTTCCTACAGGAAAAAAACATTTTTCAACTTCTTAAGATTTATTAATTGCCAATTAATTCTCACCAGATCATCAGGTCTAGCGATGAAATTCAAATCAACCGGTGACTGGACAACAATAATCATTTGATCCTGATTATCAAATGCCATTTGTCTATCCACAGTTGCTACTAACTTCCAAATAATTGAACCTTTCTCGCATCGGTAAGTACCTGGTATATTTTGTGGCAAGGTGAATGCGAATTGATACATGTGTTGGCCAGGGGGAAGGCTAGTGCTAGCATGTTCTGGAATTTATAGGTTTTTAATCATAATGGAATTTGATTGAAATCTAATAACTTACGGTCACCATAAACCCACTGGTTGATAGACGTGACTTCTTTGTCTCCAGTGAATAGAGTGTCTCTAGACTTTTGTTCATTTGTGGTAGTATCATAATAGGATTCAGTTCCTATCCATTCGGTGTGTTCATTACAACTCAACGTTATTCGAATGCCTGCAAAAAAAAAGATTGACGCAAATTGGCTTAGCCCAAATTCCTGCGTTACCTCTCATTGCGATCTCTGAATCTGTATCAAATAGTACTCTTCCATGTATAACGGATCCTGCCAGATAGTATCCAGCATAATTGTCCAGTAGCAGTTTGCATTGTTGAGGCATGGTGCATTCGAAATATCTAAAATAAAATGAATATTCTAAATAGGGACCTATTAATATAAATAAATTCAAAGACGTGTGAAAACTGGGAAAGAGAAGGTATTATTGAATAAATTGGAGAGAGAAAAAGAAAAGAACCTTCTAATTCTAATTGAGCTTGCCCCCCTTCAGTTTGAAAATTGAGATTATCTAGTTATTGGCTGTTCAGATGAAAGTGGAAGAATTTATTCAAAATTTTAAAGGATCGTTTAATAGGATAGCATAACTGATGTTTGTAGTCATTGTGAAGTGGCATTTAGTGTAAAATCTATTTCTTTCCTCTTAGCTGCCACGTTAAATTTACACATTGAGAATGCAACTGATAAATATAAAAAAGCAGCTGATAAACTAATACATTCAGTCTATGCGTCGCTGATTGTGTGACTAGTCTGAATGAATCACTTATCTTTTGTTTGAAAGGGTCATTTTGATTAGCGTGTTCACTGGATACAATGACCAATGAGGAAAGCAAGGAAGAAATGAAAAATATGTAGACAAATTTATCTATATTAGGCTTGTCATATAATTTTGGGAAAGATAATTCGTTTTGCAATACTAAAGAATTACAGGGTATTGATAAAATTGTTGGGATGTCTCATGGATTCAAATGGACAAAATTAAAATTGGTGTTGATGGTATAGGTAGGTGAATAGAATATTTGCAAATCTTTTGAAAAATTGTTACATATTTAATTGCTCTCTGTGTTGTTCTAAGATGTTAAACTAGAAATTTTAAAATGGATAGCGCAAAAAATAACAGACAAATAACATGAGATACGAAGAAAAATTGAATACATAGTATGGAAACCTCGTGAGTCGTTTAGACATCAAATAACATTACATAGGTAGGTACCATAAGAACTGAGAAAATTCGTTAAATTTTAACACTTATGTCTTCTGGTATGTGAAAACGGCTCTGCGCATGCTCCATCTCTGAATTTTTAGACATTTTGGTAGTACATTTGAAGGAGTGGAATAATACCAAAACTTTTTGTTAAATAATAATTTTATCGTTTACAAAAAAAAAAATATATATGAGAGGGATAGTAAATAAAGGGCCATTCGAACAAACAAATCTCAACAAAACATTCCAATATTAACAAGTCTACACCTGAAATATTATTTTTTATGTTAGGCATGTTATTTTTGGTATAAACGACACAAAATCCAAATTTTTTTTGGAGTTTTTGACTTATCGACTAATTATATTTATTGAACACAATTTAGATTAGTGGTCGATATCATGATATCATGATTTAATAAGGAATTTTTATTCGAAACCAAACATAGACACGCTACTGACTCATAGCACAAGCGATAAAATGAAAATTTGGCCTGAGAACGTGCGCGCGTCGTATGCAATCCATGTATACGCCTAAAGTTTATTTTAACCTAGAATTTATTTGAATATGATAGATTTACCTTCAAAACTTCTTAAAATTGTATTTTTTTTCCACTTTCACACACACCAACTGAGACACTAATTTTATCAACAAAAAAAAACTTATTTGATTCTGAAAATACAAGGAATAAAATCAAAATAAAAGGGATTCTTCAAGTCTTAAACCAGATTTCACTTCAGCGCACACAGAGGTGTGCGCGTGTATATTTTGAGAAGCGAATGTTAAAATGTTATTAATGGAATAACATTGTAGGATTAGGTCATCGTTAGTTTTGTTTTGTGGTTTTTAATCTATAATGGCATTGTGTGAGAGAGTCATCGAAATAGTTGAACGGTTTTATTTTTTATCGTATGTGGCTTTTCAATTACTCATAACTTTGAAATAAGTTGTTGATTTTATTCATTTATTTTCACATGTAATTACAGAATAAAACACCTCAAATATTTAGAAACGTAAATAATAACAATAATCAGCAACCATAAGAGATTTCTAAATCACACTCATAAAAAGGATGCGATATGAAAATGAAACAGAATTATCACCGCTTCAATGAAGTCTCCATATTTTTATTTTTGAAAAGGTTGCGGCACTTCCAGAATACTCTAGTTCCAATATGTTCACTAGGAAATCCTCCTCAAATAAGAATTTTAAATGTTTGCTTTGATTGGCTATTGTATGATATCGAAAATGTGTTCGATTCCATTGGAGGTATCGTCTCTATTGAGTTCTATGAAACATGCAAGCAGAACTGCCTCCAAACCTCTAGATACATAAAGCTAATTCATGTATCTTGGAAAATAAATCAATACATATATATGGAAATTAAAGAATCGTCGATAACCGACAAAATTCTATCACAACGTGGAGTGAAACAAGGTGACACCATATTATCATCCAAACTCTTCACATCCCTCCAAGAGTATTTTAGGCACCTTGGATATGAGGACAGATGATACCAATCAATTGAATAGAATGTTACAACGAAAACCGTCCTGAAGTGGATAGACGGGTTGAGATTTGAGAAAGAAGAAGGATTGATTTTAACGTTTAACAGATTCTAGAAAAACACACTTCTCGTGTGGGTCGTCACTTGAGCTACGCAGCAACGCAGCTGAGTTAAATTTCACCCAAGGGGATGATGATAACTGCTCAGTTCTCCTTTGGCTAGGGTATGATACCTTCGAGGTATAACAATAACAAATAATAATCACCATAATACACTAGTATGGAAATTCTTGCTTGCAGTTGTGTTATCAATTGGGAAAACTGGAAAATTCCAATTTTATTTTAACAAGATCACGAATTACACAATGGTCTTTTTCGAAACTCGTTATATACTCGCTTTTTTACTGATTTTCAATAGTTAGGAGGGCACTTTGGGTATAAGATTGTGAAATTTTATCAAATATGATATTCACTGACGCTTGGCGTGAACATCTGAAAAGCAAGTGAAAATTATAGTGGAGCGTTGCGTAAGTTCTGAAATCGTTCGAAATAGTAGAACTCTGTAATTTGGTTTTTCTCTTGTTGAAGGCTTCTGTGAATTCTTGTCTGTTTTCAAACAATTCTGTAACTGACTCTAATGGGAATGATGAGAAAACCTACAATAACTGATGTCAACAGGGTTCATTTCGCTCCTGTAGCTTGAAGCTGCCGGACTCCGGAACATTACCGATTGGGGCGGTAAGAGAATACCAAACTTAGATCAACAAAAGCAAGAACCATATATTGTTTCCCTACGGAATGTTTTCCATATTGCGATTTATTTGGTAAGATTTAATTAGAATTCGACAGGAATTCGATACTTAGGAACATAACGTCTGGAAAGTAGGTGGAAGTTTGACTGGAGCGTTCCATTTATTTAAAATTGTTTGAAATACTAGCAATCTGTAATTTGGTTTGTCTCTTGTTGAAGGCTCCTGTGACATCTTGCCTGTTTTCAAACAATTCTGCAACTGGCTCTAATGGGAACGATCAGGGCCGTAGCTAGGGGTTGGTCATGGGGGGGGGGGGGGGGGTTGGGCCAGAAAAAATCGGATTAATTTAGAAACAACAATATTCTTATTTAAAAAAGCGTATATGATTACATTGAGTTTTTTTAGACACAATCTATTTATGACATCCTTGGAACTAACATTAATTTCTCTGAGAACTGACATAAGAGCTAAACCTTTCAAACGTTCGTTCACCATTGAATTTCTTAGCCAAAGATTTTAGGCGTCTTAGTCGAAAAAGATCTCTCTGGTGTTGTCGTAGAGCAAGGTAAAGTTGCTAATATTTGTAAAATATCTTTAATAATTGGAAAAAAGGACTCATCTGTATTTAAAAACGCGTTGATGGCCGTTCTTGGCAAATGGTTACCACTACCAATATCATGATTAGTCCATTTCTTTAGCCACATATCTTATTCAGCCTTGAATAGAGAAAAATTTTGTCATATAATTCACAAATAGGTTCAAATATTTCAAGTTTAGCGGCCGAAGATTTTTCTGTGGTATGAGTACCTAACTGTAAGTATGAAATGGATTTGTGATGCTCAGAGAAACGATATTTTAACTCAACTATAAAGAGATCTATGAACAGAATGTAGAGATTTCTAAGGTAGTACCTACTGCTCAGGATTTTCAGCCGTTGAGTTTGGCGACTTACAGTCCTGGGTTTTTTTAATCTCGCTACCCATACCTAAAACAAGCTTTCCTGCTTCATTATAAACATTTTTAAAAGATTGATCGCATGACGCATGTGTCCCTAGATAACTGGACTGATTGCAGTCAGTAAATCAACATGTTCGACACAGGCTACCAGATCTACATTCACTTTTTGCAGATTTTTAGTTTTTTTCGATAGGCACATTGATTATTTCATACTTATTTTTTGATTTTAGTTGTATATTTTATTGGCGATTATTTTTTAAGAAAAGAATCAGCATGGGGGGGGGGGTTCGAACCCCCTAAACCCCCCCTTATATACGGCCCTGGGAACGATGAAAAAACTTACAATAACTGATGTCAACTGGGTTGATTTCGCTCATTTAGCTTGAAGTTGCCTGACGCTAGAGTATCATCGATTGAGGAAAACTAAGTTTAGATCAACGAAAGCAAAAAACACATAAACTTGTCTTTCCCCATGGAATTTCTTCCGTATTTCGAATTTTTCAGTAGGATTTAATTAAAATTGAATTAAAATTAGAAAGCTATGTAGGTACATACCCATAGACAGGATACATTTTGCTTCTGTAGCTTGTAGTCCCCTGTCGCCGGACGCTGAAAACCTATTACCAGTTGGGAAAATTGAAGAATACCAATTTTTTTTTCAACGAGATCAAGAATCACACAATCTTCTCTTTCGCAATTCGTTATATACTCGCTTTCTCACTGATTTTCAATAGTTAGGATGGCACTTCGGGTATAAAATTGTAAAACTTTGTCAAATATTATGACATTCACTGTCGCTCGGCAACCAGGAGGAGCGTTCCAGATTCGTTTGAAATAGTAGAACTCTGTAATTTGGTTTTTCCTTTGTTAAAGGTTTCTGCGAATAATGCATGTATGTCTGTTTTCAAACGATTCTGTAACTGGCTCTATTTGCAATAATGAAAAACCTAGAAAATCTTGTTCTCTAGGGCTCATTTTGCTTCTGGTAGCTTGAATATACTGGACGCCGGAAAGTTACCCGTTGGAGAAGTTGAGTACAGTTAAATTTAGATCAACGAAAGCAAGAATCACATAATCTTGTCTTTCCCTACGAAATTGCTTCCAAATTACGAATTATATTTTAGAATTGAATTCGAATTAGATATTAAAATATGTACATACCCAAAGACAGGGTACATTTTGCTCCTGTAGCTTGCAGTCGCCTGTCGCCGGGTGCTAGACTGTTACCAGTTGGGAAAATTGAAGAATACGAATACTATATAGTCGCTTTTTCACTAATTTTCAATAGTTAGGAGGATACTTCGGGTATAAAATTGTAAAACTTTGTCAAATATGACATTCACATTGAAAGTATGAGTGGGCCGTTCCGTAATTTATAGAATCGCTTAAAATAGTAGAACTCTATAACTTCGTTTTTCTCTTATTTAAGGCATCTGTGAATTTTTGTCTGTTTTCAAACGGTTCTGCAACTCGCATGGGAAGTTAAAGAATACTAAATTCCGATCAACGGAAGCAAAAGCCTGTGTGGCTTTTGCTTCCGTTGTTTTGTTGTTGTTTTTCCTTCTGATTTTTATTGGAGTTTCTCCCATATCTCAAATTATTTAGTCGAATTTTTTCATATTTATTTTCGAAATCAGGTACTAACCATACCCAAAAATATGGGATACATTTTGTTCCTGTAGCTTGAAGTCGCTGGTCAATTAAATATGATCTGCTATTTCTTTCAAGGTTTTTTATATTTATATCTTCTGTAGGGAGGTATGTGTATTTTTAGGTGTAAGTAACGAATTTTTTCCGATAGGTAATTTCCATTCATCATTGCTATAATGATTATATAATTGTAGTTACGTTTGAAATATCTGTTGTTATCAGCTTACCGCTGCTACCAATGTTATAATCTTGGATTATAAAGGGACTTGTACCGTAATCCGGGGCTACTTGGTCACCCCGGGGTAATTTGGTCATTTATGACATAGTTTTTTTTTTCTATATTTTTTGAATTATTTTTTTGAGGTGTTTTAGGTTCCTGTCTTTTGTTTCAGATAAGAGCTGACTGAAAATGGTGCGGGAGTACCAGAGAACACCTGGATCCAGGTCCTACCAATCCAAAAGAAAATTTAGAAAATGCTATCAAGGCCGTTAGGGGAGGGATGCCGAAGAAACTAGGGGCCGAAACCTACCAGGTACCTCGAACAACAACACTTACTAGGAAAATTCTTGGAAAGAATCTTGGGCGAGTAGGCCATCCAAGAGTTCTTTGCCGGGAGGAGGAGACTAGTATTACGGAGACACTTGGAGTGGTTGCAGAATAGGGTTTCCCGTTAACCAGGTTGGATGTGAGGAGTGTTATCGCAAAATACCTTGACAAACAAGGAAAACAAGTTAAGGTATTCAAAGAAAATATTCCCGGGGAAGATTTTCTGGATACATTCATAAAGAGAAACAATCTCTCCATCCACCTTGCATCAAATATAAAAAGATCGAGATCCTCTGTCGACCGTGTAGACATTTTACATCTTTTCGCCAATAATAATGACGCTCTGAATAATGCAGAAGATTTCAACATCTACAAT